CAGCTCAATTACAAAGCTATCATCATCAAGACAGTATGGTACTGGCACAAAAACAGACACATAGATCAGTGGAACAGAATAGAGAGCCCAGAAATGGACCCTCAACTCTATGGTCAACTCATCTTTGACAAAGCAGGAAAGAATGTCCGATGGAAAAAAGACAGTCTCTTCAACAAATGGTGTTGGGAAAATTGGACAGCCACATGCAGAAGAATGAAACTGGACCATTTCCTTACACCACACGCAAAAATAGACTCAAATGGATGAAAGACCTAAATTGTGAGACAGGAATCCATCAAAATCCCAGAGGAGAACATAGGCAGCAACCTCTGTGACCTCAGCCAGAACAACTTCTTCCTAGACACATCATCAAAGGCAAGAGAAGGTGGGAAAAAATGAACTATTGGGACTTCATCAGGATAAAAAGCTTTTGCACAGCAAAAGAAGCAGTCAACAAAACCAAAAGACAACCGACAGAATGGGAGAAGATATTTGCAAATGACATATCAGATAAAGGGCTAATATCCAAAATCTACAAAGAACTTATCAAACTCAACACCCAAAGAACAAAGAATCCAATCAAGAAATGGGCAGAAGACATGAACAGACATTTTTCCAAAGAAGACATCCAAATGGCCAACAGACACATGAAAAAGTGCTCAACATCGCTCGGCATCAGGGAAATCCACATCAAAACCTCAATGAGATACCACCTCACACCAATCAGAATGGCTAAAATTAACAAGTCGGGAAACGACAGATGTTGGCGGGGATGCGGAGAAAGGGGAAACCTCCCACACTGTTGGTGGGAATGCAAGCTGGTGCAGCCACTCTGGAAAACAGTATGGAGGTTCCTCAAAAAGTTGAAAATAGGGGCACCTGGGTGGCTCAGTTGTTAAGCATCTGCCTTCGGCTCAGGTCACGATCCCAGAGTCCTGGGATTGAGCCCGCTTCGCGCTCCCTGCTCCGCGGGAAGCCTGCTTCCCCCTCTCCCACTCCCCCTGCTTGTGTTCCCTCTCTTGCTGTGTCTCTCTGTATCAAATAAATAAATAAAATCTTTAAAAAAAAAGTTGAAAATAGAGCTACCCTATGACCCAGCAATTGCACTACTGGGTATTTACCCCAAAGATATAAATGTAGTGATCCAAAGGGGTAGGTACATGCACCCCAATGTTTAGAGCAGCAATGTCCACAATAGCCAAACTATGGAAAGAGCCAAGATGTCCATCAGCAGATGAATGGATAAAGATGATGTGGTATAATACACACACACACACACACACACACACACACTGGAATATTATGCAGGCATCAAAAAAACCAAAATCTTGCCATTTGCAACAACATGGATGGAACTAGAGCGTATTATGCTAAGCAAAATAAGTCAATCAGAGAAAGACAAGTATCATATGATCTCACTGAGGAATTTGAGAAACAAGACAGAGGATCATAGGGGAAGGGAGGGAGAAATGAAACAAGATGAAACCAGAGAGGGAGACAAACCATAAGAGACTCTTAATCTCAGGAAACAAACTGACGGTTGCTGGAGTGGGGGGTGGGGTGGGAGGGATGGGGTGGCTGGGTGATGAACATTGGGGAGGGTATGTGCTATGGTGAGTGCTGTGAATTGCATAAGACTGATGAGTCACAGACCTGTACCTCTGAAACAAATAATATATTGTATGTTAAAAAAAAAAAAAAGAAGATAGTAGGAAGGGAAAAATGAAGGGGGGGGAAATCGGAGGGGGAGACAAACCATGAGAGACTATGGACTCTGAGAAACAAGCTGAGGGTTCTAGAGGGGAGGGGGGTGGGAGGATGGGTTAGCTTGGTGATGGGTATTAAAGAGGGCACATATTGAATGGAGCACTGGGTGTTATATGCAAACAATGACTCATGGAACACTACATCAAAAACTAATGATATAATGTATGGTGACTAGCATAACATAATAAAATAAAATTTTAAAAAATATGTATTTCCAAATCTCATGTCTCTTCTGAGTTTGAAAGTCTAAATTTCCAACTGCATGCTCATCTTGAATACCTTCACACACTTTGAATTAAACAGGATCCTTCATTATCAGCTCTTGCCATCATACGCTCTGACTCACACAGAGACCGAGACATACACAGAGACAGCAATGCTGTGTATTAGAATACTGGGTGCGATATCTGGATTTAATTCCCTCTCCCTCACCCCCAAATCCAGTCATACATGATGTATCTCTTTAAATGTGTCTAAAATCCACTTCTCTTACTTGACCTAGACTCTGCTCAGTTCTTGCCATGATGATTTTCATAATCTTTTGAAGAATTCCATGTTTCTGGTATCTCATTTCTTTCATTCCAACTAGAATTATTGTTCTTGTCTCACATTCCACCTTAACAGTTGCATTGCCTTGATCCATCAGTCTCATTCAGGTGATCTGTGAAAATACACATTGCTGGGCCCCATGCTGGGAGCATTTGATCCAGCAAGTCCATGGTAGGACCTGGAAATTTGCATTTCTAACCAGTTGCCAGGTGAGGCTGATGCTGCTGGTCAGGAAACCCACACGAAAATTACTGCCCTAGGTCACTGGTCTTTAAACCTATGCAAATTATATGCATGTTCTAAGGCGCTAACACTGTGGGTATATTAGGAAACACACTAGTTAAGCGTCTGCCTTCGGCTCAGGTCATGGTCCCAGGGTCCTGGGATCGAGCCCCACATTGGGCTCCCTGCTCCGCGGGAAGCCTGCTTCTCCCTCTCCCGCTCCCCCTGCTTGTGTTCCCTCTCTCACTGTCTCTCTCTGTCAAAAAATAAAAAAATAAAATTAAAATTAAAAATAAAATTAAATAATCATAAAAAAGATGAGACAAAACAAATAGAAAATTCAATAATATTCTTCCTGCATCCAAATGAATCATGCTGTATACCCTGTATCAGAGGATCCTGGGAGGGACAGAGATTAAGAATAAGCCTGTGGCTTGAGATATAAAGTCCTATAATCTGTCTTTCTAGTCAATTAGAGCCTATTTGCTCTCTAATCCTGGCTCCAGGCCCTAGGTTACAACCTTAGGAAACTTTTCTAACCTCTCTAGGCCTCTAAGTCTTCCTGTATAAAATGGAGATAATATTAGTAACTGCTTCATGGGGTTGTTTTCAAGATGAAATAAACTCATATGCATAAAAAAGTCCCTAGCACATAATAAGTGCTTGATTAATCTTGACTATTATGATTGCTCCTGGTTAAACACTTTCTGTTATAACCATGCTGATCAGTTCCCTGTTTCCTGAATAAACATCTACAACTCAATGTCTTTGCTTGTGCTGTATCCTCTACCTGGAATATACTTCCTTCACCTCCATTCAGTAAAATCGTTCTCATTTTTCACAGCCCCGCTGAAAATGTTATGTCTCCTGTGACAACTTAGCCAAATCTCCTGGCATAATTAATTGCCTTCTCTTCTATGTTCCCAGAGCACTTTTGGAAGACTCTGAAAACGGCTTCCCACATGTATTATATACAGTTGCTTGCATGCCATCCCCTCCAATATTGTGAGATCCTTGGTGGATGAACAATGTCTAGCTGACATATGTATCCATCGCACTGCCCAAGAAAATTCTTGGCACACAGTAAATGCTGGACACGGATTGCAAAACAGGGCAGGGACACAAGGCTGACAACCCTATCCCAGTACCACAGCACAGCCTGCAACTTGTATTCAGCTATTGATGGTGTCTTCCCCAAGTGACTCCCTACTTCGGCCCCACTTTCTTTGGTCCATTGGCTAATGAGGTCTGTGACATAATAAAAAATAAATATTTGGTCTTTGTCCCAGGTTTCTGGTACACAACTCCTAGAACCCCTGGAATCTCCAGAGTGATAAGAGTGTCTTTTGCGTGCTAACGAGAGGACTGGTTCTGGGGCTCCTGGGTGGCTTCAGGATTGGGGTTGTTCACAAGAAAAAAACAAACCTTAATCACAAACTTGGAACTTTCAGTCCCATCCCCTAGCTTCGGAGAGGGGAGAAGGCTAGAGGTTGAATTCAATCACCAATGGCCAATGATCTAACCAATCATGCCTATAAAGTGACCTCCATAAAAACCGCCGAACAACAGGGTGTAGAGAGCTTCCAGGATGGTAAATGCATGCATGTGCTGGGAAGGTGGTGTACCCCAACCACCCATGACAGGAGCTCCTGGACTCAGGACCCTTCTGGATCCCACCCCACGTCCCTCTTCACTTGGCTATTCATTTGTATTCTTTATAATATCCTTGTAATAAACTAGTAAATATAAGTAAAGTGTTTTCCCGAGTTTTGTAAGCTGTTATGGCAAATTGTCACACCTGAAGAGGGAGTTATGGGAACACCAATTTAGAGCCAGGTGGTCAGAAGTGGCATCTGAGACTTGACATGGGCATGGAGGCAGTCTCACGGGACGGAGCCCCTAACCAGTGGGCTCTGTGCTGACTCTGGGTACTTAGTGCCAGATTAAACTGAATTGTCGTCTACCCAGTTGATGTTGGAGAAGTGAGCGGCGCGGGGGGAAGCCCCACCCACTTGGTGTTAGAGTGTGAGTAGAATCAGTACAGAAAAGCCGGTTAGGTTCATGTGGGAGTCTGCAGCCCTCTGAGAGAAACGTGCTGGCTAAGCCCCAGAGGCAGCACGCTGTGAACCAGGCCTCCAGCAGCCCCACGTCCTGTCCGTCGGAAGAGCACGTTCACAGAATGGGGACAGACAGAGCCTAGGAGATTTGATACCTCAATTCTTCGTCTCCCTGGTTCCCATAATTTCATGGCCTTAGGATAAAAAAAAAAAAAAAGTGCCTGTCCTCAGTATGAAAACTCTCCCCAACCCAGTCAATAAGATTGCCCAAGCTCCTAAGGCCCCAGAGGCTTCTAATCTTGTGTTTTCCGTGAGTGAGCACCCTCTGTACAGTATGTTCCAGAGCTCATCCACATCCACTTGAACCACAGGTAAAAGGCGTCTGTGTCTGTGCTCCCTGCTTACCAGCACTGTGGTGCTTGTCTCCACCTGCAGTTCCTTCAGCATCACCTCGTTCCCTGAGTGGGTTTCCTGAGGGGGCTTGCTCTTTGTAAATCCTTGGTGCCTACTGCATAAAAGAAAAATTGAAAACAAATTACACGGACATTTTAATAAGCCAACCAAAGCCCTTCCACCACCTGCTAACAAGGTCAACATTGGCACTCTCCTCTGCCAGACTTGCTATTCAGGGGAGGTCTGTTTACATGGACTCATGATCACTGGACTATTTTGTTGTGAAAGAAAAGCTAGCTTCGTGTCACATAAAGTATATTCTTAAACCACAGCACACAGCATGAGGGAGCCAGATATGCCCCTGTCAACCCTAATGAAAGAAGAATATCAAACCCATTAAAAGGCTAAAGTCCAATCACCCTTCAGTGATTTTTCTTTTCATCATCAAAAACGCTCATTAACTCTAATATCTTTGCTTTTAGGCATGAGCTTCGAGATCTGAACAGAAATTTTATTTGTAATGAATACATTTGACAAAAGTAGAATTATGATGATTCTACTGGTAATAATAATAAACCATATGAAAGGAAACAATGGATTCTGTTCTCTAAGCTGGCAGGGGATCTGTGAGACCCTCTGTCTGTGACATGGTCTCGTGATGCTCCAGAAGCATCTGTATAAATAGTGTGACCATAAAATAATGAGGCTGATTCTTCTAATCGACATACCAGAATACATAGATCCAGAAAGCAAACATCCATTATTGACTTGATCTGGTGATAAGGATATGGATTCTTCTTTTGAATAATCCTGAAGCCTATTTATGAGCCTGTATTTGGTTAGTTTATAGGGATGCCTTCTATGGGATGGGAGGTTATTGTAAGGATACTTGGGCAAGTAGGTAGAAGGCCACAGAGTTATCTTGGAACGAAGAGATTACAAGTGTGGGTCTACCTAAAGAAGGAGATAATCAATCTCCATGATTTAGACATCAATGTAATAACCAAGATTGCCTTATTTGACTTAGCATGTATATTTCCCATTAGGGAAAATTTTAGATCTCCGCATACTATAGGTATTTAAGAAATATTTGTTCAATGAGTAAGTGAATAGGTTCAGCTTTGCCACTATCCAACCCTATCAACCAACTGCTCTCTTGATCTTTTAAGAAAGAAGGCTATCCAATCCCACAAGCTAATTCTACAGTCTAACCCCGCAACTACACTATAGGCAGAAGAAGGGCTCATGGAAGTACCATTCCAGCACTGGGCTCCTCACCTTCAAAATTGTTTAACACGAAGGAATAGATTACCACTTATTTCAAATTTAAGCCACTATACTTGGGTGCTACCAGTGACCAAATACAGTTTCAAACTGACCCTAACATATACTACTGCTCCCATTTCCCAGATAAACAAACCAGTTCAGAGAGACTAAGATGCTTGCACCAAACCACACAGCTAGAAAGCACAAAGCCAGGCTCTCAAACCCTGGTCTCTGGTAGTGAAACCTTGTTCTTCCTAATGTGCCCACGACTGCAGTGGCCATGAATCAATAGAGCAATTAGAATTGTTATGTCTATTGTAATATTGAGTTAGAAAAAGGATTTGGTTTCAATAGATCAAAGAGAAAAGAAATTAGAAAGAGAGCCTGTGGGGAAATGTGTATGTGGAGAGTTGCCAGGAGAGAGGCCAGCCAAAAAAGGATTTAACACAATTGCTTATCAAATGGGCAAAGGACAGGACACACAATTCACAAGTGAGGACACGTAATTAGAAGACAAATGGGGAAAACATTTTATTTCTGTAGATATTAAGGAAAGGCAAATTAAAACAACAGTTTTATGCCTTCTCAAACAACAAAGAAAGGAATGGCAGCAGCAAACATTGCCAATGGTGTGAAACTCCTATACAGACGTACCTGGTTGAAAATATAATTTCGAAAACCCATTTGAAACAAATTCATCTATCATTGTCAAGAGTCATACAGATGTTTACATCCTTTATCTTAAGGAAAATATCTGAAAGAAGTATCTTTACAGAGATGCCAACCACGGCAATATTGAGAACAGCAAAAGTTCAAAATTGATTTGTGTCCATGAGCAAGAGGATGCTTATCTTATACAGAACATTAATATGGTAGACTATTATACAGAGTTGGCTCAGGCCCCATCCCCTCCTGTCTGGACCACTGCAGTAAGTTTGTGCTTATCTCCGGTTTTGTCCTCTCCAATCCAGGCTCCACCGTGCCACCAGAGGGGTCTTAGGAATATGGCCCTCCCACTACAGCCCTGCCTGGTGGAATTCCAAATTCTTAGAGAAGCCCCTAGGGCCTCTGCAAACTCTGTACCACCTGCTTCTCCAGCCTCCTTTCCTGCCCTGGCCCCATCTAGAGGCCTCTGTTCCTACTGCACTGAACCCCACATAAACACATTCATTTCCTAAATAAACATCCATAACGCGATGTCTGCTTATCAGTTGTACTCTTTACCTGGAATATCCTTCCTTCATCTCAACTGGCAAAATCCTTCTCAGCCTTCACAAGCCAACTGACAATGTTAGCTGGGCTTTGCTCATGCATCCTTAGAATTAGTGAGGCCTTTGCCTGTGCAACACCTGACAGTTTGCCTTCAAGACTGAGTTTACTTGCTGCCTCTGTGTCGAGATTTTTTCTTGATTTTTTCCACCTCCACTGTCAGGTGAAATCAGCCATGCTTGTCTTGGGGCCTCTAATAAACCCATGATAGAAGTTCATCATAGCTCCCGTCAGCACTTACTGCAGGTGTTTTTACATAGGTCTCCCTCGTCCAAACTCCTTGAGGTCATGACATATCACCCTAGTCAATCATATCAGCATTTCATTCACCACATTTACTTAGTGCTTATGATATGCCAAGCATTTGGGCTATGCTTTTTGCATTTTAGCTCTATATCTCATTAAAATCTCACAACTCTAATAAAGTATGTTGTTAATTATTCTCAATTCAAAGATGAGGAACCGAGGTTCAAAACAGTTAAGTCTGTGCCAAAGGCACCAAGTGAGCAAATGGTTTCGCCAAAAGCTGAACGCTGATCCACTTGATTCCAGCTGTCTAGCCATCATACCGTCTCATTCTCTTTTCTAACATAGAGCTGACAAACGACAGGTGCTCAGTAATGGTTAAAAAAAATAAAATTATGTGGCAATATTGGTAAGTGCTTAAAACAGAATAAAAGCAGAATGTAAAAATGTATCTATACCTTGACTACAACCCAATTAAAACCAAATGTGCACTTTGGACCAAGACTGCACATGAACCTAGCAACAGCAAAGGTCAATTTATTAGAGAAACAAAATCATGGCAATTTTTAAATTGATTTTCCCTTTGCATAGCACCCTTAAAGTGCATACAGCGGCTAGCTGTTCCATCATCAGAGCTCCTAAGACCATCAAAATATCAACTGACTAGAGGAATCCAGAAGCCAGATGTCCTAAGTGGTTAGCCACTGATTATTCCTGATGGGATCTGTATGCACATCAGTAGATCATAAAAATGGATCAGTAAAAAGGAGAAGAAATGCCAGTTACCTTTTGTCCTGAGTTGCCATACATAAAGAGGACTTGCACAAAACCTTAACTGTGTGAAAAATAAATAAAAGCAGAACTTCTCAGGACCGGGGCACCTGGGTAGCTCAGTCGGTTAAGTGTCCTACTCTTGATTTCAGCTCAGGTCATGATCTCAGGGTCCTGAGATTGAGCCCTGTGTCTGGGCTCCGTGCTCAGCGCAGAGTCTGCTTGGGACTCTCTTTTCCTCTCCCTCTGCCCTTCCCCCCTCTCAAATAAATAATTTTTAAAAAAATAAAATTAATTAATTAATTAATTAAGAACTTCTCAGGACCATTTCATAAAAATTAATCCTGGTGCTGTTTTTCTAAGTAAGCTCTCCACCCTGTTCAAAGAATGTTCTGGAAGAAGAGGAAAGATAAGCAAGAGAAGGAAGAAAAGGGATATGAAAAAAAAAGAAGAAAAGAAAGGAGGGAAATAATTTCTGATTTGACGAAGGGAAAACAAGAAGAGGCCAGTTAAAATTCAAATAAATCGACCCACTGATTTTCTTAAGAACCCTTCCCCAAAACTCTGCATTTCAGAAGGTGCTGTTGCTTAACTTCACCCAAGGATTGGGAAAAACGGTAGCGCGATTAACAGAAATGGGAAATCAAGAAGAGGAGGTTCTTCAGGAAGGAACAGAAGCCTATAAAGAGGACTCCATAAATGTTTGTGAATAGACCATTAAATGAAAGTGTCTTCTTCATTCTGTTTCAGTTTCCAATAGGACATTTTTCATGGCCTGCCAAAATTAGGAATACCTCCTCTCAAGGGGCAAGATTACATTTCAGTTAATTTCCTATTTCAATAAGATAGAAACTGCACATGAGCAAGAAACAGAGGCAGGCTACACAGTTTGCTTAGTCTTGTACTCTCAGTCAAATGTAGGGCCCAGAAATAAGCCAGACCTTGTCTGTACAGCTCTTGCCCTCTGCCTAAGGATGACTGACGATAAGTGGGTTCCTCAGCTGTCCAAGCAATCTGAGCCTCTCTAGTTCAAAATAGGTTGGGTGCAGATCAGAAGGAGCTGGTTTGCAATGGAGCGGAGCCAGTCTGAACATCTTCTATGAAGCATCTCACCCTCTGTATTGTTTCCCTGAGGGCAGAAAGGATAGGTGCATTGTGGGACCCCAAGGGTCAAATTATTCATATGTCTAAGTGAAAATACAAAAAACAAGAGAGCATAATTTCCAAACAAAGAATAATTTTAAGCAGGGAATTTCGAATCATTTCATAATCTTGCTTGTGGCAGAAGTTCACTTTTGTGGAAGGTATCTTGTCAGTCTCTGGGGAGAGACACACAGATCACTGCATTATTGTTTAGAAACAAGAGATCGTATTTATATACTTTAATCCCATTTGCTTCCACGAGCATGAAAAACTCATCCCATGGAGGTGTCCAGGGTCTCAGTCCATAAGCAGAGTTTGCTAAGATGCAGGAAAAGGCTGGAGCTTGGCAGGGTGGGTTGGGTGGGGATAGACTGAGGAGGGGCGGGGTAGACTGAGGGTAGGTGGGGGCTACCTTGGCAT